TTTTACATATTATGATTAGATGTTAAATACATTGAAGAGATAACACTTAAAATTAGTGCTTTTTATGTTCTCACAAGTGAAAACACATGGACACAGGGAGGGGCACAATACACACTGGGGCTGTTGGGGGATTGCAAGGGGAGGGAGAGCATCAGGAAAAATAGCTAATGTATGCTGGGCTTAATACCTCGGTGATGGGTTGATAGATGCAGCAAGCCACTGTGGGACACCCTTATCTATGTAACAAATCTGCACATCCTGAACATTAAAATTCAAATAAATAAATAAATAAAATAAGCACTTTCACATTTGTCTGTAAATGAAATACATATAGAGGATGTAGCCCCTACTTTTAAGTCAAAACTACATATGCAAAACTTCCCCAATTCCTAAATAATTACCTTTGAACCAGAGAGTATTCTATTATGCATCATGAAAGTTCTCATGAAAAAAGATCCACGAGATATCAGAATCTTTCTTTGAAGACTCTCTGTACGGAATTATTTTTGCTATGAGTACAATACAGGTACTAAATGCTGGAACTGGAAAAAGTGAAAGGTGAAACAATATGTACTATATCATTCTATTCGTTGTTCTTCCATAATGTAAATCATTACATTATTTCTAGCTAGAAACTCCATTTGTGCTTCTCTGCCCAACTCTACAATTTCACAGATAAGTCAACTAAAATAGATATGTTTACTTTTCCCTATCTAAGTGGCTTGTAAAATACAAATTGTAAAAGAATGCATTTTACATGTTTTATAGCTTGGTAGAAAGATCGCTGAACTAAGAATTAAGTAGAATAAGCAATGTATTTTTCAGTAAAATATGGGAAGTTTTTTCAATGTACTGTGAAATTTCCAAAAATGATTTTTTTTTTAATTTTTTATTTGATTATAGGTTTTGGGGTACATGAGCAGAGCATGCGAGACAGTTGCGTAGGTACACACATCGCAGTGTGCTTTGCTTTTCTTCTCCCCTTCACCCATATTTGGCATTTCTCCCCAGGCTATCCCTCCCCACCTCCCCCTCCCACTGGCCCTCCCCTTTTCCCCCCAATAGACCCCAGTGTTTAGTACTCCCCTTTCTGTGTCCATGTGTTCTCATTTTTCATCACCCACCTATGAGTGAGAATATGCGGTGTTTCATTTTCTGTTCTTGTGTCAGTTTGCTGAGGATGATGTTCTCCAGATTCATCCATGTCCCTACAAACGACACGAACTCAACATTTCTGATTGCTGCATAATATTCCATGGTGTATATGTGCCACATTTTTCCAATCCAGTCTATTATCAATGGGCATTTGGGTTGATTCCAGGTCTTTGCTATTGTAAACAGTGCTGCAATGAACATTCGTGTACATGTGTCCTTATAGTAGAACGATTTATAGTCTTTTGGATATATACCCAGTAATGGGATTGCTGGGTCAAATGGAATTTCTATTTCTAAGGCCTTGAGGAATCGCCACACTGTCTTCCACAATGGTTGAACTAATTTACACTCCCACCAACAGTGTAAAAGTGTTTCTTTTTCTCCACATCCTCTCCAGCATCTGTTGTCTCCAGATTTTTTAATGATCGCCATTCTAACTGGCGTGAGATGGTATCTCAATGTGGTTTTGATTTGCATCTCTCTGATGACGAGTGACGATGAGCATTTTTTCATATGATTGTTGGCCTCATATATGTCTTCTTTTGTAAAGTATCTGTTCATATCCTTTGCCCACTTTTGAATGGGCTTGTTTGTTTTTTTCCTGTAAATCTGCTTGAGTTCTTTGTAAATTCTGGATATCAGCCCTTTGTCAGATTGGTAGACTGCGAAAATTTTTTCCCATTCTGTCGGTTGCCGATCCACTCTAGTGACTGTTTCTTTTGCCGTGCAGAAGCTGTGGAGTTTCATTAGGTCCCATTTGTCTATTTTGGCTTTTGTTGCCAATGCTTTTGGTGTTTTGTTCATGAAGTCCTTGCCTACTCCTATGTCCTGGATAGTTTTGCCTAGATTTCCTTCTAGGGTTTTTATGGTGCCAGGTCTTATGTTTAAGTCTTTAATCCATCTGGAGTTAATTTTAGTGTAAGGTGTCAGGAAGGGGTCCAGTTTCTGCTTTCTGCACATGGCTAGCCAGTTTTCCCAACACCATTTGTTAAACATGGAATCCTTGCCCCATTGCTTGTTTTTGTCAGGTTTATCAAAGATTGTATAGTTGTATGTATGTTGTGTTGCCTCTGGTGCCTGTTTTGTTCCATTGGTCTATATCTCTGTTTTGGTACCAGTACCATGCTGTTTTGATTACTGTAGCCTTGTAATATAGTTTGAAATCCGGTAGTGTGATGCCCCCCGCTGTGTTCTTTTTCTTAGAATTGACTTGGCTATGCGGGCTCTCTTCTGGTTCCATATGAAGTTCATGGTGGTTTTTTCCAGTTCTGTGAAGAAAGTCAATGGTAGCTTGATGGGGATAGCATTGATTCTGTAAATTACTTTGGGCAGTATAGCCATTTTCACGATATTAATTCTTCCTAACCATGAACATGGAATGTTTCTCCATCTGTTTGTGTCCTCTCTGATTTCGTTGAGCAGTGGTTTGTAGTTCTCCTTGAAGAGGTCCCTTACGTTCCTTGTGAGTTGTATTCCAAGGTATTTTATTCTTTTTGTAGCAATTGCGAATGGCAGTTCGCTCTTGATTTGGCTTTCTTTAAGTCTGTTATTGGTGTAGACAAATGCTTGTGATTTTTACACATTGATTTTATATCCTGAGACTTTGCTGAAGTTGTTTATCAGTTTCAGGAGTTTTTGGGCTGAGGCAATGGGGTCTTCTAGGTATACTATCATGTCGTCTGCAAATAGAGACAATTTGGCTTCCACCTTTCCTATTTGAATACCCTTTATTTCTTTTTCTTGCCTGATTGCTCTGGCTAGAACTTCCAGTACTATATTGAATAGGAGTGGTGAAAGAGGGCATCCTTGTCTAGTGCCAGATTTCAAAGGGAATGCTTCCAGTTTTTGCCCATTCAGTATGATATTGGCTGTTGGTTTGTCATAAATAGCTTTTATTACTTTGAGATACGTTCCATCGATACCGAGTTTATTGAGGGTTTTTAGCATAAAGGGCTGTTGAATTTTGTCAAATGCCTTCTCTGTGTCAATTGAGATAATCATGTGGTTTTTGTTTTTGGTTCTGTTTATGTGGTGAATTACGTTGATAGACTTGCGTATGTTGAACCAGCCTTGCATCCCCGGGATGAATCCTACTTGATCATGATGAATAAGTTTTTTGATTTGCTGTTGCAATCGGCTTGCCAATATTTTATTGAAGATTTTTGCATCTATGTTCATCATGGATATTGGCCTGAAGTTTTCTTTTCTCGTTGGGTCTCTGCCGGGTTTTGGTATCAGGATGATGTTGGTCTCATAAAATGATTTGGGAAGGATTCCCTCTTTTTGGATTGTTTGAAATAGTTTTAGAAGGAATGGTACCAGCTCCTCCTTGTGTGTCTGGTAGAATTCAGCTGTGAACCCGTCTGGACCTGGGCTTTTTTTGTGAGGTAGGCTCTTAATTGCTGCCTCAACTTCAGACCTTGTTATTGGTCTATTCATAGTTTCAGCTTCCTCCTGGTTTAGGCTTGGGAGGACACAGGAGTCCAGGAATTTATCCATTTCTTCCAGGTTTACTAGTTATGTGCATATAGTTGTTTGTAATATTCTCTGATGATGGTTTGAATTTCTGTGGAATCTGTGGTAATTTCCCCTTTATCATTTTTTATTGCATCTATTTGGTTGTTCTCTCTCTTTTTTTTAATCAATCTGGCTAGTGGTCTGTCTATTTTGTTGATCTTTTCAAAAAACCAGCTCTTGGATTTATTGATTTTTTGAAGGGTTTTTCGTGTCTCAATCTCCTTCAGCTCAGCTCTGATCTTAGTTATTTCTTGTCTTCTGCTGGGTTTTGAGTTTTTTTGATCTTGCTCCTCTAGCTCTTTCAATTTTGACGATAGGGTGTCAATTTTGGATCTCTCCATTCTCCTCATATGGGCACTTATTGCTATATACTTTCCTCTAGAGACTGCTTTAAATGTGTCCCAGAGGTTCTGACACGTTTTGTCTTCGTTCTCATTGGTTTCGAAGAACTTCTTTATTTCTGCCTTCATTTCGTTTTTTACCCAGTCAACATTCAAGAGCCAGTTGTTCAGTTTCCATGAAGCTGTGCGTTTCTGGGTCTGTTTCTGAATTCTGAGTTCTAACTTGATTGCACTATGGTCTGAGAGGCTGTTTGTTATGATTTCAGTTGTTTTGCATTTGTTGAGCACTGCTTTACTTCCAATTATGTGGTCAATTTTAGAGTAGGTGTGATGTGGTGCTGAGAAGAATGTGTATTCTGTGGATTTGGGGTGGAGAGTTCTGTAAATGTCCACCAGGTTTGCTTGCTCCAGGTCTGAGTTCAAGCCCTGGATATCCTTGTTGATTTTCTGTCTGGTTGATCTGTCTAGTATTGACAATGGAGTGTTAAAGTCTCCCACTATTATTGTGTGGGAGTCTAAGTCCTTTTGTAAGTCATTAAGAACTTGCCTTATGTATCTGGGTGCTCCTGTGTTGGGTCCATATATGTTTAGGATTGTTAGCTCTTCTTGTTGTATCGATCCTTTTACCATTATGTAATGGCCTTCTTTGTCTCTTTTGATCTTTGTTGCTTTAAAGTCTATTTTATCGCAGATGAGAATTGCAACTCCTGCTTTTTTTTGCTTTCCATTAGCTTGGTAAATCTTCCTCCATCCCTTTATTTTGAGCCTTTGTGTATCCTTACATGTGAGATGGGTTTCCTGTATACAGCACACTGATGGGTTTTGGATTTTTATCCAATTTGCCAGTCTGTGTCTTTTGATTGGTGCATTTAGTCCATTTACATTTAGGGTTAATATTGTTATGTGTGAATTTGATACTGCCATTTTGATGCTAAGTGGCTGTTTTGCTTGTTAGTTGTTGTAGATTCTTCATTATGTTGAAGCTCTTTAGCATTCAGTGTGATTTTGGAATGTCAGGTCAACATTCAGGGCTCCATCAAATCTCAGGGAAGCAGTGATGGAGGACACAATCTGGCTAATAAGGCGGTTAAGATTAGTGTAGGTTGGGCGCTCAATATCGAGGTTTCTACGACAGATGTCATAGATGGCCTCATTGTCTACCATGAAGGCACAATCAGAGTGCTCCAGGGTGGTGTGGGTGGTGAGGATGGAGTTGTAGGGCTCAACTACAGCTGTGGAAACCTGGGGCGCTGGGTAGATGGAGAACTCCAGCTTGGACTTCTTGCCATAATCAACAGAGAGCCGTTCCATGAGCAGGGAGGTGAACCCAGAACCAGTTCCCCCACCAAAGCTGTGGAAAACCAAGAAGCCCTGGAGACCGGTGCACTGGTCAGCCAGTTTACGAATTCGGTCCAACACGAGGTCAATGATCTCCTTGCCGATGGTGTAGTGCCCTCGGGCATAGTTATTGGCAGCATCTTCCTTGCCTGTGATGAGCTGCTCAGGGTGGAAGAGCTGGCGGTAGGTGCCAGTGCGAACTTCATCAATGACTGTGGGTTCCAGGTCTACAAACACTGCCCGGGGCACGTGCTTGCCAGCACCCGTCTCACTGAAGAAGGTGTTGAAGGAGTCATCTCCTCCCCCAATGGTCTTGTCACTTGGCATCTGGCCATCGGGCTGGATGCCATGTTCCAGGCAGTAGAGCTCCCAGCAGGCATTGCCAATCTGGACACCAGCCTGGCCAACGTGGATGGAGATGCACTCACGCATAGTGGCTAGGGATTAGGAGGCTAAGGTGACAGGAGGAGACACCGGGTCCCGGTTACTGTCCCCGACAAGCTAAGAGTCGAGGTAAGTAACGCACTCCAAAAATGATTTTTATTTACCTCCAATTTCTAACCTCACTGTAGTATCTCTTCTGAGATTTATTTGGTAATTGTTTATAAAATAATTAACCACATGAATAAAAACAGATTTTGGACATTATATAAGTGCTTATCTATACACAAATTATAATGAAAATAGTCTATTTATTTTAAAAATAAAATTGTATCTTAGAATCGTTCTAGACTTAAAGCATAGCTGTGACCATAGTAAGATAGTTTCCATATAGACATACCTCATGTCCCCTATTATTAACGTCTTAATACAATGCATGGCACAAATGTCACAATTAATAAATCCTATTATTAATTTATAAATTGATACTTTATATAAATCTTATTAATAATAACATTAACTCATTTACTCTTTTTCAGATTTCCCGTTTAATGTCCTTTTCTAAAATTCCACAAGTGATACACTATTACATTTAATTTTCATGACTCCTTTTTATGACTACTCATGGTTGTGGGATGTCAAGTCAGTTTCTCAGATTTTTTTATGTTTTCTGTAACCTCGACAGTTTGAGAAGTACTGTATTAGTCTGCTGGGTAGGGCTGCCATAATGAAATATCATAAACTGAGTAGCGTAAATAAATACATTTATTTTTTCCAGTTCTGGAGACTGGAAAGAACAAGGTCAAGGTGTCAGCTGATTCAGTTTTCGGCATAGGCTCTACCTTTTGCTTGTAGACAGCTACTGCCTGTTTGCATAGTGAAGAAACAGAGACAGCCCCTCTCTCTTCATCTGCTTAGGATGTCATTTAACCTTAATTAGCACCCTTTCTCCAGACACAGTCATATTGGGGATTAGGGTTTCAACAGATGAATTTGAAAAAGGGGGCAGAATTTAGTCTATAACACTTACTGATCAAGTATTGTATTTCATGTTTCTCAATTGGGGTTTGCTTGATATTTTTCTCATTACTAGAGTGAGGTTACATGTTTTAGGGAGGAAGAATAGAAAGGTGAAGTGCCACTCTTGTTATACCACATCCAGGGCACATGCTACAGACCTGACTCCTTATGTTCATATTAACCTTGCCCATCTGGAGTAGATAATGCTTGTCATGTTTCTTCACTGTGAGTGTACTCATTTCTCCAGTTTACATATTCTGTGCTTTGGAAGTAAATTTCTATGAGCAGCTCACACTCAAGGAATGAGGAGTTACGTTTTATCTTTTTAAAGGCAAAATATCCACAAAAGTTATTTTGAATATTTCTGTACAGAAAATTAGCCAATTTTCAATTTATTTACTTATTTATTCACCAACCTGTTTTTATCAATTGTGGTTCATGTTTATTTTGTAAGTTGGGTTATAATTTAATATTACTTTATACTGTTGCTCAGATTGTTTAATCATTGGTCACTGAAAATTTTTTCAAATGAGATTTGAGTTTTGTACCTCTTCACATATTCTTATTGTTTCATGGTGTGTGTGTGTGTGTGTGTGTGTGTACATCTCAGCACTTTCTAACTTTCTGGCATTACAAGATAATCTGCTCTCATTTTATTTATTTAATGTTCCAATTCTAGAATGCACTATTTCTCCAGGGAGATTTGGTTTCTTTTCTTAGAGAATGGTATTAAAAATAAATATCTAAATGTAAATTGATTCTATTAAATTTTAATGTAAATATTACAAATTAAAAATGAGCCCAGTTGTATTTTCAAAACACATGATATTTAAATACTACTTTTGTCGAATTTTAATATTTTATTAACATTATGACTTTCCCAATTTGTATCAAACTTATAACTGTTCTATATATTTTTAAAGGCTGTCGGAATAAGACATACATTGTCTGAAAGTATAGAATTTGATATGTAAAGTATAAACATTAGGAAAAAAATACCTGGAATTTCCAGTTTCAACTCCAAAAGAAAAAAACTTAGAAGTAATTAATTTTTTCCTTAAAAGAAAGTGGGACTAACTTCAAATCAATGACTTTTTGTTGATCACCAAAGGTGAAAATACCACCTTGAAATCTGGAGACATAGGTGCGGAAAGTTACAACAAGTTCTGTTTTCTGGAAACGTAAGCCACCAGAGCCATAAATTGGTAGAAACACTAAGGGGTAATTTTTGGCAATTCACTAATAATTTTGATAAATTACTAGAGGCCAGGTATAGTGTAGATTTTTATGAAAGCAAGAAACTTGTAAGAGCACCAAGCTTTTTCTCTAGGAATCTCACCAGCTTCTCTCAGTGAAAAAGTAAAGATCCCAGAACTACTCACTTCTATACTTTTGGCACGGGGATGAGCAGAATAGACATGTATAAACATGCCTAGTTTTTCCAAAACAAAACTTTACTCTTTAGGAGAAAAGACTTTTCCAGCATCTTGTTCCAACTGGGAGAAAGGCATTGTTCCCACTTCACCATCTTTCATCCTTCCTGTCTTACCTAAAGAGGAAAAATGTCAACAGGAGTCAACTCTTCAAAAACATAGTTTAGGAATACTGCACCAGATAATTGATTAGGAGGCAGGGAATGAAAAGCTATACCCTTGTATAAAAAATTGAATTTTACAAGTGCAAGAAAGAGGCTCACTAAAAAGCTAAAATGTAATCAGAAGACTATGGAATGTTTATCTCCCCTACATCTTGTCACTAGAGCAGCGCTCCACTGTAAGGGTATGTAATAGGATTATAGCAGTAAGATCTTCAAGAGACATTCTCTGAGAAACAATACATCAAGAAGTTTATTAATCAGAAGAGAAGACAAAACAGGGAAACCAGAGGAATTTTTAACCTCTAATATTTACTATATTTATAGCAAATGTTAAGCACAGTTCAACTCCAAGACAGATGAGCATAACTTCCCACATTTGCTTCATTTTCTATCACTCAGTACAATCTGTTCAGCTTTCAACAAATAATTAAGAGGTACAGCAAAAGGCAGGCAAAAACTGAAGGGACAACTATCAGAACCAGATTCAGATATAATAATGATGTTGGAATTATTAGGCAGGAAATTTAAATAGACAACATTCAAAAATGCATGCGTAATAAAATCATACCTAAAAAATCAAAAAAAGAATAGAAGTAAAATGTTTGAAATAAAAAACACTGTGATAGAAAATAACACTGCCTTTGATGGGCTCATCAGTAGACTCGACACTGCTGAGGAAAGAATCAGTGAACCTAAAAATAAGTCAGTAGAAATTTTCCAAATTGAAATGCAAGTAGATTAATGTGTATTTTGATAAGCTCCTTAATTCTGAGTATTTTATGAGAACCTCTTTAGAGTACTGTTTCTTCCAAAGCCTAAATTGAAAAAGACTGTATTAAAATCAAATCAGTTGTGATTTAGCTACTCCATTTTATTCTAAGATATTCATTAAGGTATAAAATTATTTTATATTTGTCACCTTGTTTTATTTAATTTATCACAGAATTACTAAATTCATGCATAGTACAATGGTCCAACCAATATCAAATAGCTTTTTAGTGTCAAACTTTTTACCAGTTAGATTAAAGATGACTAAATTAAGTTTCTCTTTTCCTTTTTATTTAAAATAAAAAACTCAAAAACTGTAATGTAAACATGGTCCTAAAATTATTCCTAGGTACCAAATAATGTAGCAGAGAATTTAAAGTTATAAATAATTTTAGCAATTTTAAAAGGTGTTATAAAACATGAATGAAATGGTCATCAAATCAAAGCACCCTGAAGTGATTAAAATGGTAATAATACACTATGCAGAATACATACTAAAATATTTTCTTTTCATAATTTGCCCATCACATTGTATAAGTTTTTTTTTTAATCTATGATATTCTACCAGAATATTAGAAGCTATTTAGTCAATGCTGCATTATGTGTAGAATAACACTATTGCTATGTTAGCTTTCTACCCTCAGGAGGCATCATGCTTCTTTCCTTAGATTAAAATTCCCGAGTTTAGACAATAAGTTGTATAATCGTTCTGATTTTATTGCTTTTCGTCAATCACTGACACATAGTTTTTAGGTCATGGAATCAGTGTCCTCTTATGTCACTAAGGCTATGTGAAAACCACAATACTCATTCTATCTTCACTTGCAACGTAGCTATTCCCATCAGCTCAAGATTGGTTTATCCATTTTTAAGTTTCCTTCTTTAATTATAATCTACTAAGATTATTATTACAGTCCATCTCTGCTTTAGTAAAGGGTACTGTACCAGCCTTAGTCATCTTTTTTATTCTTTGTTTTGTTATTTTTGCTTAGCAATTCCACTCCTTTCCTATTAGCCAATGTATGGTCATAGGCTGAATCAGAAACAACACCATCTCTAATATCATGCAGAGAAATAATAAATTCTTTAACAATAATTTCTTCTTTTTATTGCTTGATTTCTCAAGACTTCAACAACTCAGCAATTATTTAAATGAAAACAACTCCTTTTATTTTCTTTGACTTTTTGAGTAATATTACATTGAAATATAATGCATTTAAATAAAAAAAGCTTACAAGAATAAAACTCAGAACAAACTGTATAAAATCAATAACCCTGTGCCAACAAGCAGAAGGTGTCTAACACACTAAAGCCTCTGCATTTTTACATTTCTTTTCCTATCCACAAATCATATCCTTCTCCCCTCTCTCCCTCCTTTCTCTCTCTCTCCTCATATATATATATATATATACCTTGAAAAACATGACCCTTGAATAATATATATGTTGACCCTTCAACAAAATGATTTTAAACTGAATGAGGCCATTTATATGAACATTAAAAAAATACATTGATCTTTGACAAAACTGACAAAAACAAGCAATGGGGAAATGATTCCCTGTTTAATAAATGGTGTTTTGAAAACTGGCTAGCCATGTACAGAAAACAGAAACTGGACCCCTTCCTGACACCTTACACTAAAATTAACTACAGATGGATTAAAGACTTAAACATAAGACCTAACACCATAAAAACCCTGGAACAAAACCTAGGCAAAACCACTCAGGACATAGGCATAGGCAAGGACTTCATAACTAAAA